GAGTGATTTGTACAAGTCAACACTCCAACTATGATTTGTACTCCCACTCCTACTGTTTACCTGGTCAAACCTTCTTACAGTTAGGACCACAGCCAAAATCTCCTCTCGATTCCTCCAATGAACGAGAGATCCACAAATCGAGCGATCGAACCTTTTTACAATTAGGATCCTCTCAAACATCTCACTCGGTCAAACCTTCCTACAGTTAGGGCCAAAACCAAAATTCTCTCTCGATTTCTCCAATGAACGAGAGGTCTATTTTCAAATCGAGTGATCAAACATTCCTACAGTTAGGGTCATCTCAAACTCCCGCTTGGTCAAACCTTCCTGCAGTTAGTACCAAAACCACAATTCACTCTCGATAAACGAGAAATTCATCTTTAGTTCGGTAATCAAACCTTCCGACAGTTAGGGTTATCCGAATCTTTTCGATTCTCGGAGTGAAGATATCACTCCTAGTTTCACCTTTTCGGATTCTGGGGGTGGAGATCCCACCTCGAGTCGCATTTCCAACTGAAGATAGAATATAAAATTCTTCCTCTTCAGTGTTGAGAGATAGAATATAAAATTCTTCCTCTCCCATTTCGGGTTTGCCTTTGCCCCAAGAGAAGACACCATTTTTTTAACTTACAAAAATCCATGTCTTTTATGCATGGGGAATTTTATCCCGAATCCTGAGTAGGGATAAGTCAACGCCTAACACGCGTTGCCGGTTTAGTCTTTCACCGATTGAAAAAGACACCAGAATCCAGTCTGGGATATTTTATCCCGAAGCCTAAGGAGGGATAAGTCAGCGCCTAACACGTGTTGCCGGGTAGTCTATTCCCGTAAGAAAGATGAAGTCTACGTATTCAATATCGTAGCACTAAGAGAGTTAACTCTCTTAGCACAACGTCACATGCGGAACGGACTTAAACAATTCGCATGCAAGCCCGATTCAAACGGTAATCGGTAAAGGCACGTCAAATCCGTTGAAGGCTGAGGGTTTGCCAAAAACCTTAAAGTCTACGCCTAATACGCGTCGTCGTTTAGTCTTTTCACGTGAGAAAGACGAAGTCTACATATTCAATATCGTAGCACTAAAAGAGTTAACTCTTTTAGCATAACGTTACATGCGGAACGGACTTAAACAATTCACATGCTAGCCCGACTCAAATGGTAGTCGGTAAAGGCTTATCAAACCCGTTGATGGCTGAGAATTTGCCAAAAAATTCTATAAATGTGAGTCATTGACGTATCAGCTTCATTAGTTGGTCTCGTGACTTGAGCATCCAACAAATTCGGAATAAGATCCACACGTGCAGATGAATCAGCTTTAATAGTTGGTCCTGCAACCCAATATTTGGGACTGTCACGCTCCAATGCCTTAAAAGCTTAAACTGTGTAGACTCCAGCAAACATATGAGTATAAACTATGTTAACACCGGTCAACGCGTTACAGTAAAGATCGATGTCGGTCAACGCATCAGTAATTTCGCCAAAATAAGGCAAAAAATGACTCCAAGGATTTCAGTTACAATCAGACGGAGAGGATCAGTTCAAAGTCAACTCAATGGCACGAGCTAAGTTCAGAAAGTTACACACCAATCTTAGTTCAAGATTTCGATAGCGGTCAGACGATAAACGCAGCACCGGAAGAACTTCATCTATTCGACAAAACACCGAATAGACTGAAGACTGAAGAAGTCAAGAATTGAAGCAGTTCACAGGTCCCTCTATGAGATTGAGGAAAGGGCATATCTTATCCAAAGCATTCCAGACTCCTCTATAAAAGAATGAGTCTGAAATACTTTGGAGGGGGTATCTGTAGGCGTATAAAAATGCATATGGGTTCCTACACACAACTCGAGACGAAATGCAGACGATAAGCGTCATCATCCAAGTCAGGAAAGGATTATCTGGCCCCGTGAAAGCTAACGAATATACAAAGTGAGTTATTGGAGTGTACAAGTCACCGGAATGATGAAATACACAATACAAGTTCGGAGAAGTCAGAAAGTGTCGAACACCTCAAAGTGGACCGTAAAATGAAGAGGCATTTAGACCATGCTACGATTTGAATCTGAAAAAGTTCAAAACATAAAAGTTGTAGATCTATTCGTCAGCTTTCCAACGCATCTTGAATCAGCTTAATCGGAGGTCGTACGAAAGAGTTAAGGTCAAAATACCGAAGATGTCTCAAACCCGACCCGTCTTCGTCAGCTTTCCAACGCATCTTGAATCAGCTTAATCGGAGGTCGTATGAAAAAGTTATGGTCAAAATACCGAAGATGTCTCAAACTGCCCCGCGCAGCGGCGGGTCGGATCAGTCCGACCCGCGCGGCGGCGGGTCGGATCCATCCGACCCGCGCCCACGCGGGTCACATCAGTCCGTCTCGCGTCCAGAACTGCCCGTAACCTCCAAAATACGTTTTTAGGCTGTCTCGATCGGTTTCTTCTGTTCCAGAGCATCCTAACTGACTTGATATCATCCCCAAACGTGGTTAGGCTGTTGTTAACTAAAGATAGAGCCAAATCACTTGTTCTTATCCTAAAACCCGCATCCGGAGCCCTATAAATACAAGCCTAGGGCCTCCTTTCAAGAGGGACGAATTATTATCAAAACGTGAAGGTGCTGCTGGATTGAGGAGTCAAGGAGCACGAATTTCAGCGAAGGCAAATCAGATCCCGGCGAACTTCGACATAAAGAAGGAGTTATTCGAAGGATCTGAACCACGTTCGTCCGTCCCTTGAGATTAGGCTTGGTCTTAATCTCGAGAAGAGCCCTGATTTCGCTTGGTCGATCTCAGCGCTTCAAATCAAATACTTCCTCGGTGAAGACGAAGCTCTGCCGAATTTTTTTATCAACCGGATCTAGATCTAAGATGGTTCACGGATAAACCCCGGCACAGGCAAAGACACCCACGCAAGCAGAAGACCGATAAACGATCTCTCTGCGTTTGTTTTGGCGAGAGTTGTAACTTTTATTTTCATTGTGTAAAGGTCTTATAAAAAGACTATCTTTTTTTGTTTTCATTGTAAACGACTAAAGTTATAATGAATACCGCAATGAATACATCAATTTTCGACGCAAACAAAAAAGACCAAGAAATATAATTTCACCTACTAAATCACGAAAGAGTCTTAATTAGCATGCATAACATAGAGAAGTTCATAAGTTTCCACAAATCACAATGCAAGATAATCTCCAACATAAGCAAAAGTCTATGAAACAAAACAAGCAAGTAACAAATAAGAAATATGTATTTTCATTTAAAATATGATATATGTATTTTTAAGTAACAATTAAGTGATTAAAAAAATATGTTCATAATTTTCTAGTTAGCATTCTTAATTGCTATTTACTAGTTAGCATGAAAAGATGGAGAATGGAGGTAACAATTACATATTTACATGTTCATAATTTTCTAGTTAGCATACTAATTAGAGAAGGATGTTACAATTAGCAAACAAGTATACTAAATTACTAATTATTGTTTGGTTAAACATGAAAAGATGGAGAATGGATTAGCAACTAGCAAGAAAGAGTCTATTACATGATGTAAATATGTAATATGTAAATTATTTAAAAAAAGAGTCTATTACATGACGCAGGTGTCAAGCGCACACGAGGCACGCGCGCTCGCTCGCGCCTCGTGTGCGTGCAGCGTCCCGCCTATGGCGCGGGGCGCAATTGTCGTAGCCCGCAGTGCCCCGCGCCCGGGAAGCGCCCAGGACGCGCGCCTCAATAACAATGATTAGATGTCTTAGGATATGTACATGACTGTAATCAACAAAGTTGCAGATAGAAGAGTCACAAAATAGACAAAAGGGACAAAATACTATTGCCGAGAGATTAGAGGTTCCTAGGATCTTATTTATCTTGAAGTCAGCTGACTATCAGTTTTAAGTAACGAGACAGTAATCACCGTTGACAGCATGGTTTTTTCTTAATAACTGGGTTTTCTTCACAAACATTCTGGTGTTATGTCTCCATGAGTAATAAAGGAAACGTTAATCTGAACTGGCTGGATTTTGAACTCGCCTTTCCTAAATTAGCATAACTAACTAAAATTATAGAGTTCGAAAATAGAACCAACAAATCCCCACGATCCAATATCTTTAATAACACTAATCACACCTCGAGTCGTTTATTAGCACATATCAACCCTGGGTAACATTTGAAATGGGTAAATTGCAGATAACCGCCTCTTCCTCATGAATTGAGGGACAATAAACGCAAATAAATAAGGTAAATGGTGACAAGTGCCACATGAAATGAGAGGGCTTGCTAGCAGTTTACCCTTTTAGAAAATATCTCTTGCCTTCTGAGCACAAAAAGGCTCCAATATCAACAAAAGAAATTAACAAACAAGTAAAAGAGCAAAAAACATAGTATATCGCCTGCCTACTTCATAACTTGGAATAGGGAACCAGTTCTATTTTTTAATTAGTTGTCTATCATAAGATATATTTTTGCAATTTCAAGTTCAACTGGAAACTGAAATCAGTATTGCTCTTTATAAATTGCTCTTTATCCTTTCTATATCATGCTGCTTAGAAGTAGGAACAAGATGGAAGAAGCACACTTATAAAACTGAAAATGAAAGATGCATCAATTTTCTTTTCCTGACAAATGTACTTGAAATTTGGGAAGTGCCAGAATGAACATCTAAACTGACGAGAATGTTGTTTGTCAAGAAAACATGCAAATTTAGGCTTCATTATGCACTATTGCATACATCGAAATTTTTCCAGAGTCCTCTATGTTGGCCAATGCTATATGCAAAAGATGAAAATTTGAAAGCTCTTCAGAGGACACAGTGAAGTCACTAGCCTAACAAGTTAGATTAAAGGTAACAAAACCACCTGATCATAACGTGTTGAATGCACAGGCAGATATAAAATATTAATTAATCAACACATGATAAAGAAATATATCGGGTATCATCCTGAAAGTGTATCAGTAGTTTTTCATTGGAATGAATGATTTCTACAATGTAAATGAACTCATAACAAACCTGAGGAACGACAATTGCTAGATTTAGAACCCCAGTAGCCAATCCTGGAAAATGCAAAACATTAGATATCTAAAATTAAAACTGAAAAGAGACATTAAGTTAGATGAATTAGAGACAAACCTTGACCACCTCCTGTACCAGCAGTCAACTCTGCAGTCACAGAAAATGGAACACTATATGTAATCTGCAACATGTGGATAAGTAAGATTACCATTATATTTTGAGTACTAAATAGGCAAGAAGCAAAACTAGTATGTTCTGAAGTCAATGCTTACTGCTAGAGGAAATCCAAGAAGTGAAAAAATAACCAAAGATGCGATCTTAATTCCTTTGTTAGCTCCAAGGACATGCTGAATTCCACTGGAGTAATCACCAACGGATACAAAACTTATGATTGTTGTTGCTGCCATGCAAATAAACACAATAAAATTGCTCATTGCCCATACTGTTTTTGAACCCATTTTTCGGCACATTGGATCAATAAGAAAAGAGCTAATTCCTAGAACAACCTGAAAGAAGTACAGAGTTACTTCATTTAGGTGGGAAATCGAAGCTAAAACTAAGCAAGATGATTGCTTCTGAGTTCTTACAGAATTCAATAGCAAACCAAATGCACCTTCTCTGACACCATTTTGATAAGCATCATTTTGATTTGAGTTTCCATTTGGGTCCCCGTGATACACTTCGCGCCCCATCCAATCAGTGTCAAAGAGGAAGAAGGGAAACCATGATGTCTGCACAGGCGAAAATTATGAATGTCTAACCAAAAACATTGGTTAAAAGAATGCATAACACGATGTACTCCTATTGCTAAGCATTAATATCTATTAGAGAGGGAGCCTTGCTCATATGTGTACGCATGAAATGCGTAGGAAATATGTACCGTTTAACAATAATAAGGATGATATGCAAACCAGTGAAAGGAAAAAATAGTTTGAACGCTTTAACAAATATAAGGATAAATCGTAAGTTGTAAGTCTTGCTGCATCACATACCCAGGTAAGAGCCATTACAAGAAGCACTGAGTGCATGCCAGGTGGCAAATGCCTTAAGCTAGTTAATAGATTAACCAAAACAGCTGATGGTCCATCACTAATGGTATCTTCTTTATCACGTCTAGTATTTGAGTCAAAATCTGAAGGACCATTGGAATTAGTTTTGGCAGCCACTTCATATTCAGAGTCATGACCATTTTCTTGTTTCCTCTGGATTATCCGTGATGATCCGTGGCCACGCTGCTCAGAGTCTTTCAGCAAGGGAGCAGAATCAGATGAGTGCTGTGCAGATTTTGCTTCCAGTGGAACTTCTTTAGCAAAATATAGAGTTATAGACATACAGAACATGAGAAAAGCCTGCATGTCACAAGCATTTTTCAGAATCATATCAAAGTAAATAAAAAATAAAAAATAAACTTCCATAATATACAAGACCTATTTATGAGATCCTACAATGAGATAGGAAGCCTAAAGATGCCAATGGTAACTGAATTACTGTTGCAGTTCATGCATATTAGGATAACGAAAAATAATGGTTCACATTTCCCTATCAGGGAGTAAATGTCAAATGCATCGAAGGTGCAGCAATCTATATTAGTAATGGACCAAAGGATGCAGTCCTACAGACCAATGAAAGAAATTTTTGACATAGAATATCTTCAATAAGGGAACTATATTAGCATCTTTTTTTTCAACCATAAAAAACAGCTTGGAGATTTACACAATCCTGTTGAACTAAAAAAGTGAAATAGGGGAATCTTAGTCAATTAAAATTTCTCACATGCTTTTCGCAGGACCTATCACTAAAAGAATCTAACATTTCTCTAAAATTTCAAGCTAATCAGTAGGCATTTTTGACAAGAACCATGTGGCACTGGTGAGTCCTTGAGCACGTATTAGTGTTAATTAGAATTTCTAATAATTCTTTTCAATTCTTATTACACCTACATCTAACAATTTTCAGTATAAGTAGAAGGGGTTTTAAACATGAATCATTTAGTTCAACAACAAAAAAATTATGATCATAATACCAGCATCATTAAAGAAAATGCTTGAGTAGCAAAAAGGACAGATAATCATAGTGTGCTTAACCCCAAATATTTAAGCAATGATGGATCAATGACACGTGATACGAAGGTACCAATGACACAAATATTATTAACACTACATGATGATTCCATATCATTATGATCTGTAAAGTGAGAACAGAGCTAATATGCCAGAGTGCAATGAACTAACAGGTCTTATTACTTTATGGACCTCCAAGATTTCTTTCCAATGAAAGATAACATTAAAGGTAACAAGTATTTTATAGATAAGGAGAGTACTAAACGATTGCGCGTCAGTTAATATATATTATTATATTATATATAATATATATATATATATATATATATTATATATATATATATACATATTAATATATATATATATATCATATTATTATAGAGAGAGACGCGGAGAGAGATAAATAACTTATGCTCATAACTTTAATGTGGACGTTCCTACTAGTTTTCTTCAGTCATTGGATGAATCACTTGATTCAGCTACATTGTGGCATGATTCCGCTCCGTTTGAACTTGATCTATATATTTCTCAAAACCCCGAACGATCACCAAATTTGGGTGAACCCGTCGTGGTTTTGCATCCCTCCGTTGAGCCATGTAAAAAGTTTTATTTCTTCGAAAACCGTTAACATATTGATCGAGGTGGATGGTAAGGGGTCAATACCACGACGGAGTTCACCCCAAATTTGGATGTGTCGTTGCGCGTTGTTAGAATTTATGTTAGCATCAAGTTTCACGCGGCGGTATCATCCACAGATGTAGCTCAATCAATGTGTATCATTAATGACTATAAAACTTAGTGGACGCTTTCCACTTAAGTTGACATAAGTTTCTATTATATATATATATATATAATATATATATATATATATATATATATATATATATGCACATACACACACACACATATGTACATATGTGTGTGTGTATAGACACACATATATGTACATGTGTGTGTGTATAGACACACACATATATATACATACATACATACATATATATGTATATACATGCATGTGTGTGTGTACATACATACATACAAATACATATATACGTGTGTGTGTATATACATACATACATACATATACATACATACATACATACATACATATCTATGTATATATACATGCATATATATTGTAGGGTCGAAAAAATTAAAGTTGAGATCGATTCTCTTGTTTTAAGAAAACTGGGTTCGATAACTTGGTACGAAATCCTTACAATCAATCACTCTCTCTCTCTCGATTACAGATGAAGAGAAGATTAATTCAGCTCCTCCTTGTTTAACGTGGACTCTTGGTGGTGTAAGGATGCTTCCCTCGATGCTTGAGTCGAGATTGCCTCCCGGTGACGATCAGAACAAGATTGCTGGAGCTTCTGACGTTCGTTAGACTGCTAGAATCGAGGTTCAAATTATAGATCTATCCGTAGGAGCTCTGATCTCTGATGATTATCTAAAGCTTTAGAAGTCTGAACCAATCAACCCCCCTCTTCATAGCTGCTTGCGGCTATTTATAGAGCTTTAGCACGTAATTGACGTGCTATAATCGTGGAGTCGTGGGCGTAACCAACTCCTGAGATTTAGCCCATATTGATTAATGGAACGTAACGTACTCCTTAGATTTAGCCTACGTGGGCTGACTTGGTCCTCGTGGCCGTTACAGCCGAACTCCGTGTGAATGATGAGCCTCGTTGCGTGGCGAGATTCGTTAGACAAGCTTCGTCTTCATTGATGCGCTTCAAATCTTGTTTCCAACGACAAGCTTTATTGTTTGAGACGAGGTCTGTCATTGTAATGACCCTTATCATGCTTGTTATGAGCTTCGACGCTTCAAGGTCAAATGATTAGCCGATGATCTATGAAGATCCATGAGAGTGGAGAGATAGGTTTTTTGACTAGCCTCTCAATCTCCCCTCCCCCCCCCTCCTTTCATGTTGATCATGCCTATTTATAGGCTTAGGATCATTATAGAGTGAGTTAATGGGCATTAACTCCCCTTATAATGAGGGAGTTATGGTTATTAACTCCTATTTAAATGGGTAAGTTAATTGTCATTAACTCTCTTTAAATGTAACCTCTGAAAATTATGACAGATGAGGTTCGACTATGCGCGAGGTTCGTCAATAATAGCATAGTGATCTTCATCTTCAATGACGAACTTCGTTTCTGGCTGAACTTCGTTTCTGGACGAACTTCATCTTCAATGACGAACTTCATTTCTGGGTGAACTTCATCTTCAATGACGAACTTCGTTTCTGGGCGAACTTTGTCTTCAATGACGAAGTTCGTCTTTTGAGGGGTGAGGTGCCGTTTGACGAGGTTCGTCTGCAGATGGACTTTGTCTTCAATGACGTTCATCATCATGATGGGCTTCGTTGGCTGAGATGAGGTTCATTATGATGACGAGCCTCGTCATGCTTGTAGCGAGGTTCAACCTTGCTTTATTCATTGGTATTTTTTAGTGTCTATATATATGTATATACATACAAATGTGTGTGTATACATACATACATACATATGTGTGTGTATAATATATACTTACTTATATTTATATTATTAATATATTAGTATATATATTATATATGAGAAATATGGCGTATGTTACCGCGTACCAAACACAACATTTTATGGGCTTGTAGTAGAGTGGCACATATCCCGCTGCCGCGTCATTTGGCAAATAGCAGGTACCATATTTTCACATTTGGGTTGATGAGGCATGGCGGAGTATATGGCAACCTATTTTGAGATGAGGTCGAAAGGCATTGGATACCACCTTACACAAGTCCACAAGCTTTTTTGTGCTTGGTATTCAAGCATGACATCATTTCCCTCTTCTCTTCTCCTCTTCTGCTTCCTTCTCTCTCTCTCTTGCTCTCTTATGATTATATATATATATATTTAAATATATATATATATATAATAATTATTATTATATATATAAAACACACTACACACACACACGATCCCCAAAAAGATCTATATATGATCATTCATCATTGCAGATCCTTTCTTCTATAGCACAATAATGGCTGATCTACAAAACTAAATTGGAGTGAAACATAAAAGTATTTTCGTGCATGTGTAAATTCATTTCTGCACTTGCTTAGGTTTGCATATATAGCATGGACATCAAGCACGCTACGATAGTGAAGAGGAAGCTTTTATAAATTCTACCTGTCAGCCTATGTGTTTGCCAATTAGAATAGCTCGATACTAAATCACATTGCTACACTAGAGGAGGAAGCTTTGTCATTCAACATTGATATATCCGTTAATGTGACGGCAAACAGTTAGGATTATTGGGAAGCCGCCGAACGGACTACACCTAAAAATTATGAAAATTCAAGTAATAGTTCCATAAATACTGATTAGCTTTCCGCCAAGGTCTATGTTTAGCAAAGTAGCTTTCATTAGCCATATTACACGATGACCTAAAGATACAATTTTGATAGCGCTTATTAGAGCGAACATGTTTCATTTTGCTTAAAGCCAAGAACTCGCCACAGCAAACTTAAAAATGCTGCCTTTCAAATTTGCACACGCGTCACAGCTAAGCTTTAGGTTCTTCAAAAAGGGGAACCACCTGTTTAACAAGATTGCGATCAGATGCATCCTGCTTAGTTTGCGTCGAGAATTGGTGGAAAGGTATGAAATGCATGCTGTAATAATATTAAGCATTAACCTTTAGAGCCTTTCAAACTACAGGCAGGATGGTGAAAACAAACTTTTTAGCTGCAAAATGTTCCCAGATGAAATAAGCTAAAGAAACAGATGGGTTGTACTCGGGATAAGTTTATGGGCGGTCATTATATCTAGAATGAAATTAGGCTTTGCATAGTTAGATCATTAATCTTTCATTATCAACCTCAAGCATCCTTAAACTTCCCTTAATATAAGCACTAATGGTTTTTTTTAAGTTCCTGATCCTTCTTTTTCTTTCTTTATTTTATTTTATATTTGATTTTATTTTTATTTTTTATTTTTTTTATTGGCGGGGTCGGGGGTGCGCTGTGCGTTAGAATACTTAGCGTTTACTGACAACATATACTCTCGCAGAAAATACTGCAGAAGCCATAAAGCACCAATTGAATGTGAAATAGAAAGAAGACCGTTGTGAAATGCAACATGAACCATGTTCCCCAAAGGTAAGCAGACATTGGAAAGGGCATTTAGGCAGTTATTTTCAATATAGAGTTCCACGAGAGGTGATATTAATCTTAATGCTGTAAATTGGAAAACTAGTCGAGCTTAAATGAGAAAGTAGATTGAGGACTACCGAGATAAAATTTCAATTTACAAAGTTCTGGTCCAGTGAAAGTGATTTTAGTAAAATTAAGAAATAAGTAGGCCTGGAGATATATATCTTATATTAACTAGAAAAGAGTTCAAAGGCTGGAAAAACTGAGTGTGAGGCCATTTCCATTCAAAATGTCTATTGGTTTTAGTGGTGGTGGTCAAAGACAGGATCTTAAAAGTTATAAAGAAATGCAGAGTGAAAATTATGACAATACAAAGTGGAAACAAAAGCAATGGAATTGTAGAGATGTAAGCAATAAGTTAGAGGGATTAAGGATAGGTTTGGTTGATGGATCTAGGAAGAAATTGTGTGAAGTTGGGTCTGTGAGGGAGCAGTCACACTGTTTCACTAACCTCTGGTTACTTCTATACTGCTGCTTTAAATGTAGACAACAAAGTGAAGTGTGAATTTAGAGAGTAGGGGCTTCTATTATCTATATGACATAATTGTTGTAGGTTTAATTATATTTGATACAAAAGGAAGTGAAATAATGAAAAAACAATTATCCAAGATAAAATTGTATATTAAGAGCAGAGTGATTAATTTAGTTTTAATTGTTTCATAATCCAGAAATGAACAGTAACAATAATTGTATTTTTCAACACTTTCCACAGTGCCTCCCCATGATTTCATTAAAGAGAGAATGAAGGATTGACGGCTCATTTCCAGAGGAACCAGAGGAAGGGAACCTAGTGTTGTCTTTTATACTAATATATGCATCTGGAAATGGACAAGACGAACTCTTTTCAATTCAGCTTGAAATGGAAAAAAAAATTGTCAAATATGGGACACAATATCATGTAGACAGGAACATTGTCTGGAAAGATTTGATCTTATACCTAATTACCGAAAGTGGTGCATCTGATAATAGATGCAGATCCTAACTTGCCTAGCTGTTGCACTCAGTCAGGGTCGACGTAGCCAAATCTCAGTCTGTATGTTGTACTCAAGATTCTGTGCCTTGTGCTGGCATTATTCACCTAGATGTAAATAAGGCTATTAATTACAACAGTACAACCATGCTCATCAGATAGCATGCATATATATCTTACTTCTCTACCTAACATCACGTCTTCATGAGCATTTTCACTCTTACCAAATAGAAATACTTGTATTCTAAAATGCTTCAGGTG